GGGTCTCCCAATAGACTCCTTTTCAACGGAAGTGCTTTTCTGCCTCTTTATGATTGCAACTCAAAGATCAAATCAAGTCACTCCCCACCCCAACCCACCAGCACAATGCAGCTATCACTAAGCAAACCTCCCATACTGTCTGTGTCCTGGGAGTGGGGAGGGCGGGGCTAACATTGCTTCTCGTTCCAGATTCTGCAGACTTCTGAATTTCTCTGATCTCAGCCAACATGTGGCCAGAGTCTCCCTTTTTTACCTCCTCGAGCCCCCCTCCTTTTTTTGAATTTTTGGCACCATTTCCTCTCTACCGTCAGGCTGCCCAGGGAACCCAAACACTCCCTCTGGCCTTTGCTGAGCAGGTTTAGTCCACAGGGCCTATCCTCTGGGTTCGGCTAACACAGAAGTTATTTCTCTGAGACTCCTGGGGCCAGATTTTTAATATTTACGTAAGTAACATAAGCACAAAATGGTATAAAACTCAAAGTATACTTAAAAAAAATCATCTCCCTCCCACCCATGCCCAGCAACACATAGTCCTTCCTTGCCTACTGTTACTGGTTTCTTTTTATCTTTCCCACTGTTGTTGTTTAGTCACTAAGTCGTGTCCGACTCTTTGACCCCATGGACTGTAGCCCGCCAGGTTCCTCTGTCCATGGGACTTCCCAGGCAAGAATACTGAAGTGGGTAGCCATGTCCTTCTCCAGGGGGTCTTTGCGACCCAGGGATCGAGCCCGCATGTCCTGCATTGGCAGGTGGGTTCTTGACAGCACTGAGGGAAGCCAAACTCCATTCCTTTTGAAACCTCTGTATGTGTATCTCTCTCCCTCCCTTCCTGGTTTGTTTGTTTGATTTTATTTCCCTTTCTTCCTTTCTCCCTTCTTTCTCCCTTTCTTGTAAATGAAACATACTATATTACTAGGTACCTTGTTGTTGTTTTTTTTAACTTAACAAAATCAGTGCATAGTTTAAGGCCACTGTTAAATTTAGACTTTTTCTGTCGTCTCAGTGTTCTCCAATCCTTTATGCTTTGTCACCCCTATCATTAAAAAATTTCCTAAGGCACACAAATATGTAGCTATTCACTCATTATAAAGTATAGCCATGTCACTAGTAGTATTTTTATTATGAAATATTAATTTACTATTTACTAGTAACATTTATATTATGAAATATTAATTAAAATAGAAACTTTAAAATGATAAAGGATGAAAATTTAAGTAAGTTTTTTAAATTGTATTTGATTAGTACAAAATATTTGTGCTTTCTAAAATATTAGTATTTTTAATAGGATCAATGTGTTGAATATGCTTTGTCATGTCTGAAAATCTTGGGTGATCCCTTTGTGAGATAACATTCAACTGTCTGGTTGTATGTTCAGTATGTTTTGATACTTGGTTTCAAAGTCCATCAGAGCTGAAAAAGACACATTACAGAGATGTAGATCCAAATGGAAATAATACCTCATTAGATAAGTTTTATTAACTCCCAACATGCATTTTTCAATACCATCTTTTATGTAAAGACATTTGTTGAAATTTTTCCTGAGTTAAGAGGTTTTTTTTTTTTTTTGGTAATACACACAGAGTAAATGGGAATATTTCCAAACATCTGTTTTCAAAATGTTCTTGCCATAGATTAAATTTCTTTTGGAAAGAAATTACTTTCTCACTAAGTGTTAAAGTATCACTTTTACTTAGAAAGGGCATACTATTAATACTTAAAAAAAAAACATCTGCTAGATGACATATTGGGGCTTCCCTGATAGGTCAGTTGGTAAAGAATCTGCCTGCAATGCAGGAGACCTCGGTTCAATTCCTCGGTCTGGAAGATCCCCTGGAGAAGGGAACAGCTACCCACTCCTGTATTCTTGGGCTTCCCTTTTGGCTCAGCTGGTAAAGAATCTGCCAGCAATGCAGGAGACCTGGGTTCAATTCCTGGGTTGAGAAGATCCCCTGGAGAAGGGAAAGGCTACCCACTCCAGTATTCTGGCCTGGAGAATTTCATGGGCTGTGTAGTCCATGGGGTCACAAAGAGTCGGACACAACTGAGCGACTTTCACTTAGATGACACATTAACAATAGCCACTTGCTCATCTGCAACTCTTGTCTTTTTGTCAAAGAAAAAATGCCAGACTCATTCTCAGGTTCAGTTCTACAGCTTCTTTAAATACACTGCCCTGAGATAGCTTGTGAGTACGTGGCCACTCCCCATCGCATGGTGAAGAGTTATAAAGATCCTCCTACTTGAAGACTTTGTTTTTATGAAATGAACCACATTGATAACATCCCACAGGCATGTAAACATTGGCATGGTTAACATCCTACAGGCAGTCCCTGGCAGTATGCTGGACCCAGAAGCATGAGAAGATGCCTCACTTGTCCTCACTGCAACTCCCTCTCTTTCTGAAAATTGTCTGCTTGCAGTACCTGCAGCCATGTGAGACCCTCTGCCTGTCTCTTGTCTGGACTAAGGGAGGGCACCTTAATGAATTGATGTATCCCACGGAGGATGTGTACCCCACTTGGAGATTCTCTCCACAAAGGACTCTCTCCTATTAAATTCAAAAAGCTTTATTTTGTTCTTTAGTCTGTGAACTATCCCTCTCTCCCTTCTTTCTTTTTTGTCACACCACATGGCATGTGGGATCTTAGTTCCTGGACTAAAGATGGAACCTGTACCCGCTGCAGTGGAAGCGTGGATTCCTAACCACTGGACCACCGGGGAAGTCCTCCCTTCCTTCTTTTAATGAAAATACCTTCCAGACTCCGTCTCCACAGCACTGTATCCTCAAGGGACTTCCCTAGGGTTGTTTTGGGAAGGTCTGGCAAGTTGTCCTCAGCAGTCCCCACTGGCCCAGTGCCTGAGGCAGGTAGATGGTCAAAATGACAATGTCTGGCCACTTCCATTTATTAAGCAATGATTTTGTGTTGATCCCTACTCTAAGTGTTCCATAAAAACGGTCCATCCTCTCTGTTCACTGTAGGTATTTTCTATAACGTCTCCCTAAACACCGAATTAGTTCTCAAATACCTCCGCCAGGGAAATGCAGGATTTGGTTCTTAGATTCTGATCTAGTAATATTCAATAATATTAAATACATGGCCAACAGCACACAACACATGCCTAAACAAAATCTAACTCACACTTTTCTCCATAAGGCACATCATAGCCTTCTTTTGCTCAAGAACACTAGACGGCACTTCAGCACTATGCATGGGAGCCCTTTTAAATAGCAAAATCACCAACAAAAAGCACAAAGATGCAGAAAATGTGGCACTGAATAGACTGCCAAAAGGACATGTGTTTACATTAGGAGAGCTGAAACAAGAAGGCAAGTGTTGCCTCATTTGCCCTCAGCTGAGAATGTGCAGATTGGGTAACTCAAATTTTTCATCACTCTGCACATACTCATGCATGACCACAAAGTGAGCAAGTATTGATTTGAAGATTACAGATCAATTTTAATTAGTAGATGATGCAAATATGGAACCCACTAATAATGAGGCTTCCTTGGTGAAAGAGTCACTTTGACGATGACACCTGAGCTGGGAGGAACCTCGGAAATCTCTTCTGGCTACTTTCGTTGAGACTTTGGGAGGCTAGTATAGTGAGATAACTTATCCAAAAACATCCATTGCATGTGTGACATGCCTGGGATGAGATTCTAGGTCTCTCATACCCAGTTGGTGCCCTTTCCATCACATGTTATTGGGACCAAATGCAACAATTTTAACTTGCTGGTGGCGCTATATGCAAAACTTTGTGCACACTTCCTCCAGATTTTTCTCTGCAATAATAAAAATTTGCTTTTGATGAGAATGTTCCATTTGAGGTCTTATAGTATGTGGGCACAACGAACAACATGTATATTTAAAAAAGGAAAATCAATCCTGAATGAAATGAGATATTAAAAGAACTCAATAAAATATTTGCAGCTAGAACAGGCTTTGACTTTTTAAAATTTAAGTTCCCCAGTGAGCCAATTCATAGACGGGTAATATGAGGGGGAAATGATGTGGAAAAAGGCAAATGTGCTGTGGAATTAGAGATGTGAGCATGTGATGTATAAATGTATAAATAGAAAAGGTGTGCCAAGATGGTAGTATTTTAGTTGGAAAGTTACTAACATATGCATATTTATAAATGCATTTTGATGCAAGAGGATCTCATTTTTTTATATTCCAACAATTATACAAAATTAGGTTATTCCTTATTTGGCTAAAGAAGAACAGAATTTAAAACTCAAAGTAAAAACAGCTCATAACTAATATGGCCTGCAGGCTGTTTGATAAATGTGCATACTTAAAATGAACCTATGAACTAAAAAAAAACAAAGAGAACAAAGAAAGAATAGGCAAAGATTTAGTATGTTCTCTGAATAAGATTCTTTGCTTATCATCAATAAGTAGGTACAGATACATTATTTCTTTTACATATAAGATTTTTAGTTCAAAGAATTGCACACCATTGTTCTTGCTAAGACTTTCTACATTCTGAGGTCTCTTCCTCACCACTATTATAAGTGCATCTTATATTTGGAATGATAATTCAGATGTCCTTATCTAATATTTATGCAATACCTTCAGATACATGGTATGATAAACTTTTCTGTTATTTACAGAACAAGATAGTTACAACTCCATTTATTGCACTTTTCACATCATTAGAGAAGGAATTTAAAATTCTTATTCAAGGCCCCAACATCCCATTTATTTATCCATTTCTATCTGAATTGGTGTCTCAGAATCCATTCTTTGTACCCGTTAAGATAAATGATGTAATTCTCACTCATGCACAACATTTTCTTACAGTTAATTTTGTAATGAACCATCTCTCCCCCAAAACAGAGCCTCATTTGTTTTAAGGATAATTTTTATTGATGAAGAACATTTTGCAGTTTTAAGAAGATAATTTTCTTATTGATGTAACATTTTCTATCTTGAAAATTTTCTTTTCATAGATTAAAAGCCATGATGGTCTCCTTTAGGAAAGCAGCTTATCCATCAATAAGGATCCCATCCTCTTCCAAAAATGAATCGATTAATCATGTCAAAAGCTCGCAGAGGCTGGTCATAGGGCAAAATGTGGCCTCCACCTCGAACAATTACCTTAAAGAAGAAAAACAGAAGAAAAACTGAAATTTAGAAAACTGGATATTCTAAATACATGGAAACTTTTAATGTGGATTAAAATGTTCTTAAAGCTCACATTAAATAAAGAACATAGTATATCAGTTCATGCTTTTGGATATGCTGATTGTCTGCTTTTGATAGCATTAATAATAGGTACCTTAAGGTAAGAAAGTTTTAAAATTGTGTAGTTATTTGATTTTATACTAAATTGCATCCATCTTTCATGTGTATGAAACTGGAAAATTCTTCCTTGTCTCTTTCTTCTTAGGAGGGAGCTGTCTGCTTCTCCATGCTGTGCTGTAATTCTTACCTTGTTAGGGCCCTGAAGTTGAGAGATCTACCCCAGACCAGCTCTGGTTGCAACTAGGTAGAGAAATGTACCTAATTCTGCCGTTCAGTGAGCTGGTCCATTGGCCTTCACACTAAGTTACACCTTCTACCTTAACTACACCTTCTACCTTAGTCTTTACCAGTAATAAAGGAGATATTTTGAGTCTCAAAAAAATTAAAACAACAACAAAAGAAAACTCCTTGACATCTGAAATTTTTAAAGGCCTAAAATTTTTTTGAGCAGCAAAAAGTTAGAACATTCTATTTTTTCCAAGATTTTATTATGAAACAGTTTCAAACATATAGCAGATTTGAAAGAATTTCATATACACACCATTTAGATACTCTTGTTAACACTTTACTCATTTACTTACAGCTGCATCTCACTGCCCATCTATTACCTCATCTTATCTTTTTGACACATTTCAGAGTAAGATGGGAATGTCAGTATACTTATCCCCAAATTTTGTGTAAAATTGACATACAGTGGGATTCTCTGGTGGCTCAGACAGTAAAGAATCTGCCTGCAATGCAGGAGATGTGGGTTTGATCCCTGGGTTGGGAAGATCCCCTGGAGAAGGAAATGGCAACACACTCCAGTATTCTTGCCTGGAGAATCCCATGGACAGAGGAGCCTGGCAGGCTACAGTCCATGGGGTCGCAGAGTCGGACATGACTTAGTGAGTGACTCAACAACAACGACCAGGTTATACAATTGTTAAGTAGAGGAAGTAGCTAGAACCCTGGCTTCTGACCTAAACACTAGTGTTTTAAATCAAATTCCAGTACTTTCACAATAATTTCTTACTGTGAAGGGAACTTTATGGCTTGGTCACAGAATGTTTCACCCACCTCTCCACATACTTTGAGATAGTTAAGGACTAGGAGATCGGACTTACCCCTCATTGGCCTTTGGAGACAACTGCTTCATGCTACCCTCCACCAGCAGTCAGCTGTGCCTTGCTGCTAAGACAGCAACGTCCATCTACATTTGTGTTTCAGCTTGCATTTGGAAATCCAGCATGTCCCCCTCTTTGTCCCAGACCAAAAGTGAACACATCTGTGACAGGAGCCCATGCACGTGACCCTGGAGGAAGACTTCTGTTGCCCCCCACGACCCCAGGCTAGAACTCTCCTCCTGTGGCTTCCCATCCAGTCCTCCAGCCTTGGCAGGAATCAGATGAGCAATTTTCATGCAACTTCAGCTCAGCTGAGGACACTTAATGAAGTCGTGTTTATGACAAAACCCAGCTGCTTCAGCTGGAAATGAGTTTTGCAGCAATCGTCCAGAACAGTAAGAAACTGAATACTCAAGAGCTAAAGGTCATCCTGCCTCCCTCCCCGTCCAGGGCTACTGCTCATGGAGGGCTAGCACAGTGCTTCACGGCCTGGGCTTGGGAGTCGGAGCACAGGAGCGTGACCAGAGGCACAGCAAACTGTGTGACCTTGGGCAAGCAACTAACGTCTCTGTGTTTCAGTTTTCTTAACGGTACAATAGGGAATGAAATATTATGTCCTGGGATAGTTGTAAAAGGAATTAAAGGAATGATATCCATGGAACACAGACAGTGTCTGGCCTGGGAGGGTTCTTGAGAAATATTAGCTGTTGTAATTATTCTTCCAATAATTATCTCTATTCAAAATGTAAGATCAAAATTCATATAACCAACATAACTAACCTAGAACATTGTGTTCCTACATTAGCATAAAAATCTTGGTTTAAGGGAGTTGTTTAAAACAGTCATTCTCAAACCTAAAGGGGAATAAAAATACCCAAGCTTGTTAAAGTAAATTGCTAGGTTCTCACCCCTAGACCTCCCAGTTCTGAAGGTCCCAGCCAGGGTCTAAGAATTTGCACTTCTAACAATTGCAAAATAATGCTGGTGCTGTTGGTCCAAAGATACTCTTTGAGGACCTCTATTTAAAAGAACTTCCTATTTTGTGACAGGTTGTTCTGTTTTTACATCAAGGGAAAACACAAAAATCTGTTTAACATCTACTAATGACCTCACCTTAGTGTATTTTTTCCTAATCATCTGTTCTCCTGGTGTTTACACACACACACACACACCCTTCTACAGCCATGATAATCAAGTGGCAAAGAAGAGATGACAGGGGTTAGGTGTTATAATTCTTATTCTCAATGACTTGCCTGATCCTTAATCCAATTCTGAGCTGCCATATGTAATGACCAAATGACATCATAAATGGTGTCATTAAGATTGGAAAGAAAAGCTCATTTAAGAACAAAGTCTTTTTCACATGACACAAAATTCTCAAAGTATGTTCTCTAGCAGATTTCCATGTAGCATTTTCCTGAAGTTAACCTCAAAAATGAATTTATGAGTGCTGAAAAAATAAATCACTCTGTTGTAATAGCCAAGCCACTCACCACTCACAAATCAAGGACACAAACCACTCCAGAGTTTTTAGAGGTGTGTAAAAAAATGTGACAGGGCCATGATTATATATTTAAATGTGACAAGACTAATCTTGAGGCTCCCTGGATAGAAATGGTCTCATCACCAGAAACTGGATATTTTGGGTGCTTTCACATTAGAACTGAAACTGCTAAACTCGTGTGTTCCAGATGTCATGAATTTTAAAAGGGTTATACAAAACACTTTAAAGCTTCATTCCACTTTAAAGCTTCATTCCACTTTATGTTTTAGAAAAGAATATGATTCTCCATGGAACTAGGAACATGGACCTGGCAATAAAGATTTCTCAGTTGTGCCTTTTGAGATGAAATATAAGGGGAAATGCACAATGGGTGTGTTGACACATATGTGTCATGGGAGGCTTCAAGGGGGCCAAGGAGGAGCAGATCACTGGACAGACAGTGGTGGGTGGGGAGGGGGAGAAAGATGCAGTGAAGACAGGAAACTTGAGTTCAAAAGCAGGGGGCATGAAACTGTACTGCACATGCAATAGTCTGAAAGGAGTTCCAGTTATGAAGAACTAGAAGGAAAGCAGAAGGAACAGTTGAACAGGCAAACCCCATATGACATGCTGCTGGGATCCACCGACCTTTTCATACAGGATTTGTGTGTGTGTGTGTTAAAATACACATAACATAAAATTACCATTCTAACCATTTTACTGTGAACAATTCAGTAGCGTTTAATATATTCACAATGTTGAGCAACAATCACCACTATCCAGTTGCAGAATATTTTCATCACTGCAAAGGAAACCTGTACCCATTAGCAATCAGTTTCCATTCCTGTCTCCCTGCCAGCCTCTGACAATCACTAACCTACTTTTGGTTTCTATGTTTTTGTTGCCTATTCTGGGGATATCCTCGAGAGTTTTAAGCAGAATAGTGATATGCTCAGATCTGCATTAAAGGAAGATGACTTCATAGCCACTGAGGGGGCTGGTTTGAAGGAAATGATACTGGGGCAAGGAGGCAAGTTAGGAGACTAGCTGTTCAGATGAGAAATGATGTAAAGGAGAGGTGGTAAGAAGGGGAGAGAAGAGGGAAGTTGGGGTTGAACCTGAAAAATTAGTGATTAATCAGGTATAAAGTTAAGTGAAAAACCCTCCCCCCACTCCCTAACACATGAACATCCTTCCCATTCCAGGCTTCTGAAACATGCAGCTTTGCAAGAAGTGATGGTATTAACCAAGAGGCACACGGCCAAAGCAGGTCGGGAGGCAGGTAAAAGAGGACAGATTTCTTTCTTTTTTTGGATGACTGTGGCTGTGTGCCAATAAAACTTTATTTATGGACACTGAAATTAGAACTCCATACAACTGTTATGTGAAACAAAAATCATATATTTTTTTCAAACATTAAAAGATATAAAAACCAAATTTGGCTTGTGTGCCATAGAAAAACAGGCAGAGAGGCAGAGTTGGCCAACCCTGACTTTAGAACACATCTTCCTGACATCACCATGAGGCAAGTGGCTAACATCACCCTCACCACTTCATGCAGTAGAGCATGAGAACCTGAGAATTCATCCAGATTAATTTCCCTCTCTTCCTCCAATTCATAGAGGAGGTTTTGGTGCCTGACTTCAGGCCCTACAGCTTGTGAGTGACAGTGTCAGGCTGGAGCTTGGGTGTCTTGATTTAAGTCTTACCTACCTTCCCCCACTTGGTTCCAAAAATCAAAATTTAAGATTTCATCCACAGCTACAAAGTGCTTCTGCCATTTCTCATCAGCAGTTCATCATTTTTTTTCACTTTAAAGGAATTTATTCTAATAAATACCTTAAAATTAAGGATTCAGTAAGCTCAAATTATACAGAGAATTATTTTTTTTTAGAATTTTATTTATTTATTTTAAAGAGGACAGATTTCTAATCCTTGTTTTCTACTACAGATTAATGGAGACACTCAAGATCATCTTGTTTGTTTCTGACTTACATTAAAGTTCTTTTATTACTTTTATTCCATTCCACATTTACAAATGCTTACCTTTTCACTTTCAGACATTAACTCTGAGTATAAATTAAATAAATAGGCATTGAAATAAAATGTATACTAAAAAGAAAAGGTACTTGGAAATAAGAATAAAAAAATAAGCCAAAATTTGCTAGCAGCCACCTCATAATAAAAGAGTGAGGCAAGTCACTTTCAATAAAAGAAAAAAAGCCAAGATCAAGGCTCAGTGTTGATCCCACAACACTCTGGGA